CCTTTTGCCTAGTCTATCTCTGGGTAACACTGAGACTCAAAAAGAAAACGTGATTCCTATCTTTCACGTTTTCTTTTTGGTCAGTGTTGTGACTGGCTTTGGTTGCTTTCACAAACATCTGTGCTGACTGAAACCCTCTTCTTGAAGAAGAGAGTTTGCATCTCATTTGTAAATTTTTCTGTCCAATGAAGATTAATAAGTACAGATCTCTGTTTAGATAGACTTGGTCATCTAGATTCCACTTTGTTGAGTCTCCTGCTGTCATTTTTTTTAAGAGATCAGATTTCTGATATAATCTCTTGTGGGGTGCACAATGGATCTTTTAGATTAAAGTGAACTAGGACTACTGGCCTCCACTTTTAAGCGGGGGGGTTAGTAGTCTGAATGCAATACCAATAGTAGCGAGGTTGAGGCCAAAGTTTTAAACGCGAAAACGTGTATGTCAGACATTCAGCGCTGCTTTCCCGTAAGCCTAGAAGTTTGACAATGGTGTTTGAAATGTCGAGCATGATTCCACTGACTATCCAAACACCATTGTCAAACTTCTAGGCTTACGGGAAAGCGGCGCTGAACGTCCGACGTACACATTTTCGCATTTAAAACTTCGGCCTCAACCTCGCTAATATCACAATTAGTTACTTCAAAAGTTAATACTTTCAATAATGGAACTAATTTTTGATGCATACTACATTATATGTGTTAGACTCAAAGATATAAATCTACATTGAGTGGAAAAAAACCAGATCACATTGTGGTTTTACAAAAGCAGTCACAACAAGAAATTTTGCAACCTGGCTGCTTACAAAGAACCACAATGTGTTATGGCATTTTAAAAAATACCATGTTATGAAATTCATATGAGGACTGTTAAAAAATATGACCACATGTTGCAGCAGTATAAACATACTACAATGAGTCATGATTGTTTCCTGTTTATGCTGTAGTAGCAAATATAGAGTTCATGATATATGACTAAATATGAGTAATAATTAAGAACAGCAGCCAAATTCCAGTATTTTTGCAGGAACTTAAAATTACAAAACAAAACTTAAAATTATGATTGATATCTTTGAATGATATTTGCACTTTTTTATCAAAGCAGTGTCTCACAATTGCAGCTTATAAAGCCCTACTTACTTCCAGATGTTATATTTGAGGCTGGTTGAAGATCTAGTAAAATTGAGGGCATTATCATTTATGTCAATGAAGTTGTCAGTAATTGTAAACTCATTGCAAGCATGGTTACCAATCAAGTAGGTCTTCCTTGATGCCAAACTGATAAACAGTTTCATCTGACATCATATCAGCAAACACAACTGATAAACAGTTGTGTTTGCTGATATGATGTCAGATGAAAACTGACAAATGACTGAGTTGATTCTGAACTGACTCTGCTCTTCTTCCTCAGTGAGGCAGATTGTTGTATGCATATGTGATATGAGACATTTTGCAACAATACATTGTGATAAATTGATAATGCTAGCATGTATTGTGGTCATATTTTTTAAGTTCCCAAATGAATTTCATATTATGGCATTTTTTTAAATGCCAGAACAAGCCTCCTAATAAGCAACCAGGATGTAAAATTTCATTATGGCTGTTTGTATAAAGCCACAATGCATTCTGATGGTTTTTTTCTAATCAATGAGCATTTTAACTCTTTGAGCCTAATGTATACATTTAATGAATCAACTATTAATTAACAAGAATTATTAGCAGTTAAAAAGGAGGAAATTGATATCAAAAGTAGATGTGACCATATAGCAGCATATTATATTTTATTTAAATTAGTATTTCTCTATTGACAATAATAAAATATATCCCTGATGTGTATACCAAATATGTTCTAGATTTTGAGCTAGTGTATTGAAATAAAGACTAGATAAAGAGAAGATGGTCTATTAAATTTATATATAAATAAATTTAATTTGGCATTGTAGTATGTAAATATAATTGAAACTGTGACTTTACATAATTTGTATTGACTTTGAATTTTTTCAAGTTCATTTCATTTCCACACATTTCATCAACATATCTCTGAGAAAACTCAAATAATGTTCAGCACAGCTTGAATGCAGCAATAACTAAGCCTGTGTCTGAATGCCATTCTTTACAAAGTTTAATTTTACTGGGAATTTCAATTCTGTACACGACATTTTATTTCATATTCTTTGACAGCTTTTTCCACAGCAGAAGTTAATTGCATAATCATGACATAACTTGAAGCTAAGTTGATCTTTTGTAAGTATTCTTAGTTAATGTTTATTTGGCACAACCAGAACAATTTAATTTTTAAAATATTGTTAATATAATTACCATTTAATAAATTGAAAAGGATTAAAGTAGGTTAATAAATAAAATGAATATGATTTAAATGAAATTAAATGAACTATTTTATTTATATTAATTAAAATGAATACATTAACCAAAGAAAAAGGAAGTAACACTAGAAAATTTTCCAAAAATCTTTTTCTAGTTAAAATTCATGATTTTTATTTATATTGTGTGGTGTTTTCAATTCCCATGCTACTTGTAAATTAGAGGTCATATAAGGTGAAAATATTTTTTATCTGTTAAACTCAGCTCTCCAAGATTAAATCCCGAAAGTGCCACCGAAATTAATAGATACATAATTTAATAAATATACTTCCATAAAACATTTACAATATTTATTTCTTTGCCACACTTAAAATTTGTGACGATAGGCTTCCAAAATAATCTAAAGATAACATGTAATCCATCTATTTTATTAATTAATAATGAATTAAATAACCTCAAAATGTGTCAGAATAAATATGAAATATCATACCAGTACACATAATATGAACATTGTTTCCATTTGCTTAACAATCAAAATGTCACACTACATACTATAACAAGTTTTTTTTTCCTTTAAAATATGTTGTATATTTTTAAGCTTTTTATCAAAATAAAATATAATCGATGATCATACTGTACCGTAGAATAGTTGTTTGTAATCAAAGTATGATCTGAATAATATAATACTTGATGACGCTGTAAAGAAAAATTTGGCCACGTACAGTCATCAAATGTGTTATTTTTGATATTTTGCTTAAATCACTTCGTTTTATTTATTTACAATTTGAATGTACATCAGTTCTCTTATTTGGTATTAATATCGAGAATATAAACATATCGTTTCATTCCTGTTTGGGAGATTATCATCGCTTTTTATTTACGTCGCTACCTGTCTTTCGGTTCAGCATGTCCACGACGATTACGTAAGACCTCCCACCTTATGCCATTTTCCGCTACCCACGTAAAACTTGGCACGTGCTCGTTACGTCACTATCAACCCGGTATAAGCGTTCGCCTCGGCGCATGCTCCATCGTCCGGTTTTTCCCCTTCCTCCCCCGATCGTAGCCAGCAGGTAAACACGACGAAAGGACAAATTACCTTTTAAAACCTGAAGGTTGCCGAAAATTGATTTTCGAAACATGCCACGAGTGTCCATTGTGACAGCGACAAATAGGAATACCATCCGAAAATCCGTCAGGTAAGAAGGCAACGTTGACAATTAGGGAAAGGTGACGGGAATGCACGTGACACGTCACCTGTTGACCGCCGTCGGAAAATAACTTGAAATAATTGAAAATTTCAGAAAACTTCGGAAGACGTAAATTTTGTGGCCAAAATAGGATAAGATACTTGGGATATCTGCGGCCATGGCGACCGCGGTCGAACAGGTTTTGGCGGAAGTGATAGGCCTAGCTGTTGCCGTGACGTAATCAACGACCGCGAGTGGCGCTTCAAACAATTCGGAGAGCGAGCTGTACTTTTCGGGTGTTACTTGCATTACGTCGCCTACTATTTCCGATGTCGAGATTTAGAAATTGTGCATCGGTCAGCCCGTTCTCATCATTTAAACCTCTCTACGGGTCAAGGCCGTACCACATCTGTGCTCGATTCTTTCTGGGAAAGAAGCTAACGAATTATTTCGCTCCATTTAACGATAATAGGCTTTATTGTTGTTGGATATATTTTTAACGATCGATTATTCCAATTATTTTCGAATATAAATAAATGGCATTTTTTGATATTCATTTTAAACCTGCAAACATAATGATCAAAGAATGTTTTAACGTTTGATTGTAGTTGTCTAACTAGCGAAGTTTGTTTTTTGCCTTCGGGAAATTTTTCGGTCATTTAGCAATATTTGGAGAGAATCCAATGCGTGTCAACCATTCTTAAAGAATTCTAAAATTAGTTTAAAGCATATTTTTTTTTTTTGTCGAAAACCGATTATTTTTCTTTTACTATCCTTATTGTGTTTTTTACGTGGAATCTCTTTTACTGGCATGCAATTAAGCGTCGATGAGAGAATTCCTAAAGGGAACAATTAATATGGTATTGTCCATTGTTTAATAAATTATTACAGAGTGATTTTCTGTGTCACTTCCAGTTCGTTAATTGTATATTAAAACTTAAAAAAACGGTAATACGGTTAGTAATCTAATTTCTTTGAAAAACCGCGCTAATATAATTTAAGTTTGTTCGTTTAATCTTTAATAAAAAAAAAAAAAATACATGCCACATTTATATTAACATTGTACTTCCGATTATATATGTAAAACGGTTAACATTTTTTCAAATATCTGCTTTTTCGCCTTTTTTTTCAGAAATATAAAATCGACCGTAAAAATCATATTGATAATATATATCGACCTGCTAATAGTAGTTATTATTAAATAATACTTTTGTATCGATTTTTTTCTTTCAGACCGCAAATAAATTGACCATACAGTTCGATATTTTCGAATAATTAGATGAACATGTTCTATAATAATATATTTTCTCATAAACTTATGTGAACGAATGAAGCTTTTAATCTGATAAATTCATTGATTTGTCTTTTCATTAAAAGTTACATCGTATGCGGTATTTGAATAGTTAAAAATGAAAATTCTGCCGCTTTTAAATGATTTTCTGAATAAAAATCTGACCTGATCTCAATTTTGTAATTGGTGTCTTTTCAGAGAACCTCGCAAAATTATTCTTAACAAAGGACCTACAGGACTCGGTTTTAATATCGTCGGTGGAGAAGATGGTGAGGGGATTTTTATATCATTTATCTTAGCGGGAGGACCTGCCGATCTAAGTGGAGAATTAAGAAGAGGCGATCAAATTTTATCGGTATGAATTTGATTACGAAATCATCGGCATTGCGAACAGAAGTGATATACTCTATATAATACGATTTGCTTTTAAGGTGAATAACGTTGATCTAAGGCACGCAACACACGAACAAGCAGCAGCTGCTCTCAAAGGTGCTGGACAAACTGTGACTATGGTTGTACAGTACAGGCCGGAAGGTGAGTAAAATTCTCATAGAATGACGTTTCACAGTTGGCGATGTGGCAGCGGTTACTGTGACATCTGTTTGTGACATCTGCTACATGTCGACTGTATTCAAAATAAATGACATTCCCTCCCTCTATTTGTACATTGCGTGGGAATGGAGTCGTCCGTCGTTATGACGACGGCCGCACCCGAGTTGCATCATCTTGATTCCAGATCTGCCGAGTTCTTTGAGATTATCGGACATACGGTAAGTATCGTATTGTGATTGGCTCGCATTTATAATGACGTCATAGAAGATAAATATAGTTTAGGATATTGGAGGAAGATAGTTGCAAGAAACTTTTAAAGCTCGTCCAGAAATCGGTTGTTCGTAATCCAATACGAATTATTTTTGACTGTAAAGTGAGCTAGTGTTATCATTAGCTTGAACCTGTTATTCGATATGATTTCAGCCTGGAAAATCGGCTTTTCCGTAGAGGAGTAATGTTTGATGGCGTATACATCGTCGACAGTTTGTGTTATCGATTATTTGGCAAATTTTTATGTCGTTACCTGCTGTAATTTAAAATATAAAATTTGAACATTATACGTTACTATTGAATAAGATATTTATATTTAAGAAATTTATACGTTTATATTGCAAAAATCTTTCACACAAATGCTAATTCAGCATTTTTGTACCATGTAAATTTATATATAATTAGTATAAGTTTTAAATACAGAATATTATTAAAATTTTATATATATAATGTGAATATCATATAGATTTATCCTTCAAAATTATAGAACTTAAACTTTTATCTACTAATATTTTCTGTTACATTTTAAAATTTTATTTTTATGTATTTCAGAAATATTAACAATCTAAATATATTTGTTAAACATTCAATGCTAATAATTTGTACATAATGTTATATGTGTAGCTCCTAGTATATATCTTACAAATATATCATCTTTTAACATAAAACATTTAAATTCAGTTGTGTAAAATATAATTTTTAATTGTTATGAAAATATTTTCATTCGTTAATAACAACAGGTATTGTCAATTTTTATCTTATGCTTGAATTATGAAGTTAAAAAATTAATATTTTTCTATCTGTTAAAATTTTGAAATGAAAGGATTTCTCTAGGTTATTCCTATTCTTTCTTATATCTCTGATTATATGAAGTCATTTAGAAATATTCATCAAATAACTTGCTTTTGGAATGCAAGGAATATTTAGATTTATGCTTTTTTAACTAATTTTATTATTCCTATTATAAATTTCATTAAAATATTACAAAATTGTGTGTCCATTTCTCTTGATTTTCATTATTTCACTTCTTTTCAATCATTCTAATAAAAACAAATATTGAAATTATATTAACAGTTCAAACTTTGTTTTATATAAATTAAAAATTATATGAAATATATCTTCCATAATTTAATAATGTAAAAGTTCTGTTTTTTGGGGCTACTTTCCGGAAAACTGTCACAAATAAGAAAACCACAAAAGCAGCATATAGAGAAATATACTAAAGAAATAAGGCTAGGGGATTGAAAAATATGATGAAAACATAGTTATATTTTCACACAAAGAAGCTTTTTATTTATTTTCTTTCAAACCAAAGATAAAAACAATTATTACAGCTTATATCTACTTATTTATTTTTTAAAAAACTTCTAACTTTCATTTGTTTTATCTTTTTGTAAGTCAAGCAACAGCACCCGGTAATACAACATTTATTCTTGAATTCCTATCTTAAATTTAAGACTTCTTGCTTGCAATCTGTATTTGATGCAAAGCATTTTTTTTTTTTTTTTAATTCAAATTTTGAAATCATCTTTCAGAATCATCAAACAACTTTAAACATAATTCATTGTGACTGATTTTATTCCAGATGCTTAAGGCTTTTTCCATTTTTTTTGATAGATTTCTAATAACTATTTTTGATATTTTAATTTATTTTTTTTTTAATATACTGTATAGTAAATACATTTACAACAAAAAGAATGTGAAACCATAGCCACTGATTCTTGTTGCAAATGTTTTAGCAGCATAATATCCACTAGCATGATTGACAATATGAATTGCAATAAAATATATGCTTAAGACAAAATCTTTAAAAATTAATTAATTGTCTGTTTACTTGTTTCATTATTTTTGATTCTTCTGTAAATAAATGAATTTTAACTTTGCAAATATGTGAAATGCACTAATAAAGAAAGTGCAAATATGGAGCTTTTACTTTATATAAAATATAAATCAAACATGTGTTCTGACATTATAATCAAATTATGTGTCTTTAATATTTAATGAAAACTTTAAATATATTTGTTTTTACATAATAACTTGTTTAGGAACAAATAGAACATAAATAGAAAGTGATAAAATATTAAACAATCTAGAGTCATGGCAGTGATTCTCCGCCAAGTAAAAAAGTCACTGACTGACTACATATACAGGAATTAGAGTTGCCAATTTTTGGGAGTCAATTTCTCTGCCCCAAACATCTAAAGTAATTTCAAATATCTTGTTTGAAAGGTAAATGTTTTCTTAGTATGCAAAATTTCAACATTTTCTATAAAACGGTTGCAATTGAGAAAAATTGCCAAAAAAGATGTCTTTTGGTATTTTCTTCTTCTTCATTCTGCACTGCAGATGCCTGTAGAGAAAAAACTGATGGGTCTATAAAGCTCAAATTTTAAACATAAGCTTCTCATTGTCAGTGAGGTGCTGGCAAAACTTATCCAGGTCAATAGGTTAAAGTCCACAGGGGTTTTTCGTAGAGCTATTTAAGTTTTATGTCTTAATAATGTAATGTTTATAAGGATAAAATTGCATCAAAAGAAATGAATTTTATTAAAAATGTTCAGAATAACAAAAGCTCAAATTTATGCAAATTAAAACTTTTTATAACTGTTTTTCTAAATGGCATCAGTTGGCAATGCATTTGATCAGTACTCAGTGATCGAATTGTGTGTCACCTTCTTATGTTGTGATGTAATACAATTATTAAACAAAAACATTTGATAATAAATGACGCTTTTAGTCCACGACTTTAATTTAGATAGAGTTAGATAGCCTAATAAATAGGATTTAACAATTTGAAGGGCTTATCACACCAAAGCCGACAGAGAAAAGACCAGATCTTTTACAAAAAGTTAGTTTTTAATAATCACCTTCAAATTTAGGTAAGGATGCATTTCAGGTACAACAACCAGGGCCGGATCATCGCATAGACAAATGTCTAGGGCCGGTCAAACTGTCTATTTTGAAAAGATTTGTAAATAAGATAATTTACTTTTCTGTTGGATAGCTGTATATAATAAACAAATATATATTGCTTTTTATATGGTTATTGTGAATTCTAAAATCTAAAGAAAATGTATTTTTATGTTCTTATGTGGGAGGGGGCTCGGTAAGAAGAAAATGTCTAGGGCCCCAAAGTGGATTAACCTGACCCTGACAGCAACCCCTCATCAGCTTACAAACACATAGTACCAACATATAATTATAACACTAATAGTTAACCAATACAACATTTGAGATGTAAAAAAATTTCACCAAGTAGAAACTTTTGATAATTTAGACAACAGTCAAAATTTTTCTTAGGAATTTTCTATGGTAAAAATAGTCTTGACACTTCAAAGTGGTATCCTCAAGAATTTTACCTGTATTGTTCTTTCCTACATTTTCCTTCAAAGCATGAATCATATCTTTACCAAAGAAAAATCCTAGAAAATTTTTTACTGTTGTCTAAATTGTCAAAAGTTTTTACTTGACACAATTTTTTTTACATCTCAGATGTTTTTCTTTGGATTATTTACTTTGTTTGTCAAAAAAACATCATTGCATTCTATAAATCATTTAATAAAATAAAATAAGAGTTGTGGAAACATATTTTAATTTTTAGATATTTTTACAATTCTTCTATTTTATTTTTATGTTATTAAAGTATTTATAAAATAGATATATATGTAGTCAAAGAACTATGTTGTAGCACTTAATTTACTAATTTTTTCTATAAGAACTGATATTAGTCCATATCAATGCTTGCCTTGTCAAATATCTTTGTTTCACAAAATGATGTCTAATAGCCATAGACATATTTGAAGATCATTTATCCTCTCTCCAGTATGATTAGTAAAATTTATAACTTTTTATTAATACATTTGTATGAATTTATATATTTTAATATTTTGCTCTCTAGTGTCTTATATCATATTTTAAAAATTAAAACTTTCTTTGCATTCTAAAATCATTAAAATTTTTTACTTAGCTTCTGCTCATTATCAAAAAATCACATTATTATTTGCACAAAATCACAATATTAACATTTATAACAAAATTGTTTTAATACATAAACACAAAGTTATATTTTGTTTTAATATTATAAAAATTGAAAATATATTCAGATTAAATAAAATTCAAGTGCATTTCACATAGTGATGGTGATGGCCTGCAAACACTTTTCCAAAGTCAGTTTTTTGGTCCTGTTTAGTCTGACTTGTAATGCTAATGCTGGACAAAATTATTCTGAAAACATTTCTAAAAGAATAAATAGTTGATTACTTTATTTTACTTTACTTATATGATATTTAAATATAATTGCTAACTTTATTTTCTGTTTTTGAAGGATGAAATATATATTAAAAATATTGTTATTTCATATTAATTGTATGTATAAATACCTAGTACTACAGATTTACAAAATTCAGTAAAAAGAGAATGAAGGTTGGTGAGCTATAGCTCACCAAGCTTCATTCTCTTTTCACTGAATAGGAATAGCTCAACCCTCTGAATAGGAGCATTAGTTCTGCTCATTATTCAGTGATCCTCATTATTTTTTATACATATTGAGCTTATTATCTTCATATTATACTTATAACTGTAAAATAAGTAATAATTTTTTAATTGTTGATGCTGTCACTGTTAATATTGTAACTTTAGAGAATAAACTACAATAATTACAATACCATTCAATTCAAATTATAAAAACAAGCATTCATTATTTTGAGCAATTAAAATTTCAAATTATTAAACTAAAAAAAAATTAATAAATATAAAGCAAAATAATTTATAATCCAAAATCTAATTTTATAGAATATAATCGATTTGAAGCAAAAATTCATGACTTACGAGAACAAATGTTGAATACATCAGGAAGTTTACGAACATCACAGAAGAGGTCTCTCTATGTGAGGTAGTTTTAATATTTATTGTTAATTTTATAAATCTTATATGCTACAATATATCAAGATGGTGCATGAATAACATAATAATATAATTTAGGGCTTTGTTTGACTATGATCCTTCCAAAGACAGTGGCCTTCCTAGTAGAGGCCTTCCTTTTCGATTTGGTGATATTCTTCATGTCATTAATGCTAGTGATGATGAATGGTGGCAAGCTAGGAAAATTTTACCAGATGGTGAAGAAGAAGGTATTGGAATAATTCCAAGTAAGAGAAGGTATGTACTGTACATTTAAAAACTTTTGAGAATAAAATGGCTTTTATCTTTAATATATTAAACTTGAAAAATCAGCATATAAATTATTATTATTTAAAAATATGTGGATTTAAAGGAAAGTGCTTTGCTTAAGAAATTACACATTCTAATTAAGTGTAGATAATTTATATTAATTATACTTATAATTAATTTTACTTTTTGAATTAAAATGCTTTGCTTTGCAAAGTTTCTTCAAACTTTAATCATAAATTAGGCAAATCCTTATATTGCTTGTTATAAAATAATTATTATAATACAGTAAGAATCTACTTATTGTAATCAGTTTGAAACTTGCCTTTAATGATGATAATCAACAAAATAAGTAAATAAAACTAGTTTTAATGTAAGATTCAGTAATCAGAATTTCCATTAAAGAACCTGTTAAACAATTAATTAAAACTGGTTTTTTGAAGTTTTAAAACAAATAGACTTGAAAAAAATTATATATTTTTTTACATATTTCTTTTATCCTTTTTTGTGTGAATTTTTTAATATTTTATAATCATTGTTTTAAGATTATGCTATATCTTCAAGCCATGTAATTTGCTGTTACTTCTGAGGACTGTGAAAAGGATAAAAGAAATAGACTCAGGGAAAAAATTATATATTTTTTATGTAAGTCTTTTAATACTTCAAAATGAAGATAATCCTGAGTTAAGTCATCTTTATGTAAATATTGTTTGATTTTTATGCAAAAATTAAAACTGTATAATTTGAATATTTATTACAGTGGAACCTTGCTTAACGAGCATAATTTGTTCCAGAATCATATTTGTAATGCAAAACCCTCATTAAGCGAAACAATTTTTCCCATAGAAATTAATGTAAAATATGATAATGCGTTCCATGATGAAAAAAATACTCAAATACAGTGGTACCTCAGGTTATGAACGCCCCAGCATACGAAATTTTCAGGATACGACATGAAATTCGAACATATTTTTGCTCCACGATATGAACAAAAACTCACCATACGACGTTACATTAGTTCGCATTTTTCATTTGTTTTTCTTACTACAGTTATTTTTTTTAATGTATTACTTGGCTTTAATTTGAGTATGTTTTTCGCGTTGGAACGAATTATTTGGTTTTACATGTAATCGTATGGGAAAAGATGATCCACCTTACAACATTTTCATGATACGATCTCAGTTTCGGAATGGATTAATTTCGTATCCTGAGGTACCACTGTATTTTATGTATAATGTTTATTGAAAGAAAATTGTACAATGTGCATTGTTAACCTTTGTACAGTGGGTTAGTCAGCTATGGAGCTATGACGATATAGTGGAGAATAAACATGGGAAATTTTTAAAAAATTTTCCCACATGTTTTTCTCGTTTCCATTTCAGAAAAAATTTTTTAAGCGGTTATGTCTAGTAAAGAAAAAAATTTTTTTTATTGTCACATAATTCCTTTTTTATGTGAATTTTTTTTTATGGTAGTTTTCGGCGATATCCACAAAATTTTTTTGCAGATACAGTATAGACATCGTTCTCCAGTGCACATGATCACCTTTGACAGGTATAACCATCGATCACCTCAGAGTGGTTAAGGAGCATGAATCATCATTATCTTTTCTTCTAGTACAGAATGAACCAATCTGGAATGAGAATTCGATTTGCAGAAAACTAAAAAAATCACAGATAATATGTATGATAAACACTCCAAACGATATGCCAAATTCTTGGGCTATGTAAAGGCTATAATTAAATACAGTGGGTGATTGGTTAACAAACATAATCCGTTCCAAAACTTTGTTCACTATCCGAATTGTTTGTTAACTGATTATTGATTTATATAGATTCTATGGGAATTTGATTAATCTGTCCCAAAAATAAAAATTATATACTTTCTTACTACATTTATTTATATGTAATAATTTTATTATTACATATTACATATATGTAGGAATAGTGATTGAGATAGAGAACTAGAAATGACAATAATCCAGCATTCGTAACTGCCTTGATAGAATGATAATATTCTTGTCTTCATAACATCTTTTCGTCCTTTCTTACTTTCGCGCCATCACCAACTGTCATCTTTCTCTTACTTCCCCCTTTCTCATCCCTTCTCTCTCGTTCTTCTCGTCTCCCCTGCAACACCTCGTAAATTTATTGTCTTAACGGTTTAGGAATGTAACTCATCTAAACCCCACATATATACACAGTCTTGCATTTTTTATTGGTCATGTTTTTTCTGTTTGTGAGGGTTAAAGAATCTATCTAACGTTGATTGCTTTTCTCTCTTCAGGATTTTTCAGAAGTAATTAATAGCATTGTTGTTGTAGAGATCCCCAAGCATATTAACTTCAACCTGGTTTGGATGCCATTCTAAGACCATTGTTCTGACATCTTCCCACTTCTTCAAAAGATCTTTAATAGCAGATATTGGCATTAATCCTCTTTTTAGAAGAAAACATATCTCACCGAGTTTCTTGGTGTTCTTCATTTAAGAGTTCTTGGTGTTCTTCTGTCGTCAGATCAGTTTCAGGTTCCATTATGAGCTCTTCAATGTTCTTTATTTCTCAGATGTGATTTTTGTTACTTCTTTAGCTGCTTGATTATACAGTAACTTTTTTAAATAAGATTGAACTGCAGCCTACTGTATACCTGTTCAAGCCATACTGCCCAGCAACATTAGACATCTTCTGTTCATGCTCTACCTTTACTATTATACTCTCACCTTTTGAAAATAAAAACCGATGCAAAATTTAACGAGTGCCCACCCGACAGTCTCACGAATACTTTAAAAAATTCTTTCTGTCAGAAAAATAAAAGGCTGGAATTACAAGGGAGAGTTTCAAAGTTCAGGGGAATACTATCCAATTAGTATATACCATGCTGAGCGTCGATGTCAATGTCTCCTGCACACCAAAAACTTTCAAATTGTTGCCTGAAGACAAGGGAAAATTAATCAGTATTCATTATTTTATGTCGCTTCTTCTTGTGTTTGTTCTGTGAGATGTTCATTATCCAAACATAAAAATCGTTAACGAACGTGTTCATTATCCGATTTGTTCGTTGAACTGTTTGTTAATCGATCACCCACTGTAATAGAAATTAATTAATTTGACTAGAGGTAGGCAGTTATGCTGCCATCTTGTATTAAATTTAATAATTATAAATAATTAATTTTTAATTCAGACATTTTTAAAATTTAATTTGGAATTGGTCATTAAACTTAATACTAGATGGCAGCATAACTGCCTACCTCTAGTCAAATTAATTAATTTCTAATACAGTGGGTGATCGATTAACAAACAGTTCAACGAACAAATCGGATAATGAACACGTTCGTTAACGATTTTTATGTTTGGATAATGAACATCTCACAGAACAAACACAAGAAGAAGCGACATAAAATAATGAATACTGATTAATTTTCCCTTGTCTTCAGGCAACAATTTGAAAGTTTTTGGTGTGCAGGAGACATTGACATCGACGCTCAGCATGGTATATACTAATTGGATAGTATTCCCCTGAACTTTGAAACTCTCCCTTGTAATTCCAGCCTTTTATTTTTCTGACAGAAAGAATTTTTTAAAGTATTCGTGAGACTGTCGGGTGGGCACTCGTTAAATTTTGCATCGGTTTTTATTTTCAAAAGGTGAGAGTATAATAGTAAAGGTAGAGCATGAACAGAAGATGTCTAATGTTGCTGGGCAGTATGGCTTGAACAGGTATACAGTAGGCTGCAGTTCAATCTTATTTAAAAAAGTTACTGTATAATCAAGCAGCTAAAGAAGTAACAAAAATCACATCTGAGAAATAAAGAACATTGAAGAGCTCATAATGGAACCTGAAACTGATCTGACGACAGAAGAACACCAAGAACTCTTAAATGAAGAACACCAAGAAACTCGGTGAGATATGTTTTCTTCTAAAAAGAGGATTAATGCCAATATCTGCTATTAAAGATCTTTTGAAGAAGTGGGAAGATGTCAGAACAATGGTCTTAGAATGGCATCCAAACCAGGTTGAAGTTAATATGCTTGGGGATCTCTACAACAACAATGCTATTAATTACTTCTGAAAAATCCTGAAGAGAGAAAAGCAATCAACGTTAGATAGATTCTTTAACCCTCACAAACAGAAAAAACATGACCAATAAAAAATGCAAGACTGTGTATATATGTGGGGTTTAGATGAGTTACATTCCTAAACCGTTAAGACAATAAATTTACGAGGTGTTGCAGGGGAGACGAGAAGAACGAGAGAGAAGGGATGAGAAAGGGGGAAGTAAGAGAAAGATGACAGTTGGTGATGGCGCGAAAGTAAGAAAGGACGAAAAGATGTTATGAAGACAAGAATATTATCATTCTATCAAGGCAGTTACGAATGCTGGATTATTGTCATTTCTAGTTCTCTATCTCAATCACTATTCCTACATATATGTAATATGTAATAATAAAATTATTACATATAAATAAATGTAGTAAGAAAGTATATAATTTTTATTTTTGGGACAGATTAATCAAATTCCCATAGAATCTATATAAATCAATAATCAGTTAACAAACAATTCGGATAGTGAACAAAGTTTTGGAACGGATTATGTTTGTTAACCAATCACCCACTGTATTTAATTATAGCCTTTACATAGCCCAAGAATTTGGCATATCGTTTGGAGTGTTTATCATACATATTATCTGTGATTTTTTTAGTTTTCTGCAAATCGAATTCTCATTCCAGATTGGTTCATTCTGTACTAGAAGAAAAGATAATGATGATTCATGCTCCTTAACCACTCTGAGGTGATCGATGGTTATACCTGTCAAAGGTGATCATGTGCACTGGAGAACGATGTCTATACTGTATCTGCAAAAAAATTTTGTGGATATCGCCGAAAACTACCATAAAAAAAAATTCACATAAAAAAGGAATTATGTGACAATAAAAAAAATTTTTTTCNAATTTTTGAAATCGGATGAGTAGTTTCGGAGATTACCTGCTGCA